CCCCGGTCTCCCCTCCTCCCACCCCCTGGTAACCAGGAATCGAGGTCCTGCTGATGCATGTCCTGTTCGAGAGAGTTCATCCGAATGGATCACACAATATCATTATCTGCCCTTTTGTGGATGGCTTCCTTTACTAAGCATAATGCCTTCAAGGCGCGTTCATGTCTAAGCGTGTATCAGAACAAATTAAATTCCTTTTATGACTAAAGCACATTCCGCTGTATGTACACATTACAGTTTGTTCATCCAGTCCTCTGTCGGTAGATACCTGCTCTGTTGCTGGGAATGACTTAGCAAGGCCTTCTAGCCATCCTCTCTGTGACTCTCCCCACATCGCTGGGTGGTCGTGCTGGCGGGTGCCAGTGAGTCAGCTTCAACAGGGAGCAACTCTGAACAACGGAAAGGAACCTGCCCAGTCCTCACGCTCGTTCGAGCCCATTGTTGCAGTCACTGTGACCACCCGTCTTGGAGAGGGCCTTCTACTTCACCAAACGCGCTGTCCTTCTCCAGGGACTGGTCTCTCCTGACACCATGTCCCAAGTGGGAGAGAAGCATTCTTGCATCCTTGCCTCCAAGGGGCCTTCTGGCTGTACTTCTTCCAAGACAGATGTTTGTCTGTTCTTTTAGGGCGCTTACAGCATTCTTTGCCAACAAATGACTGGGTGGGACTATGCCAATGAGGGGTTTGTAGTCCCCCAAGGGGATTGGATAGCTTGCTAAGTAGGTCAGTCAGGTGCATCCATCCTTATGGGGGTGGGTCCATAAAAATAAGGTGCATGGTATGCTAACAAGAGGATTCCTCACTTATGGCAACCTTAAGCCTTTAAAGGGCGCCATCTCCGAAGCATCTCAGAAGGGGGAGCTCAAGACCTCCAAGAAGGGAGGAGAGCGAGCACATCCTTCGGACCAGAGACCTCTGCGTTGACAGTGTCCTACACACAGGAGACACACAGAGAGGTGTTAACAGTAGCTAGCCAGGGATGAGAGGAGGTCCCGGCCGAGAAAGAGCAGCAGAAGCAGGAGACTCGTTGGCGAAGGCACCGTGGACTTCCTGGAAAGCAAGGACGTTGAGTGGCTTCGGGCAGAAGCTTTGCTGGAAGAGCTGGGTCCCTCCAGGCGCTTGGGGGAACTAGATTTGCTGATCCCAAGAGCTGGAGTGGAGTGCCTTCAGGTGAGGCTTACAGATAGAGTGTAGCACCTCTGAGCATATATCAGCAGAACTCAAAACTTTGTAACACTTGCCCAAAAGGGGTAGAGGCCAGGCTGAGGGCCCGAGGGTCAGAGAGAGCTGCCCCACCGAGACCAGGCTGCTCTGATCAAAGAGCTGTATATTCTTAAAAAGCAACAACTGTATTCTGAGCATTCTTGCACCTGACTTGTAACCTGTTCCTTTCCTAATCCACTCCAGCACTGTAAGTAGTCTGCATGGCTGTGGAGGGGCAGCTGCTGTCAGAAATGGTTAAAAAAAGATTGGAGAGAGGAGGTTCCTTTGCCCTAAAGCCCCATAGGAATCAGCCTGGTGCTCTTATTGCTGAAAATGAGTTTTCTTCCCTCCCGGTGAAGTTGGCGGAAGGCGGAAGATGCTGTTGCCACATGCTGAGGCTTGGATCATGCAAAGTCTGACTTTCTGAAGAACTAGCACCCACTAGAAGACGTTGGCATGAGTGTGCTGTCGAACGAAATAAGGTTGCTCATCAGTGAGACAACGGGGCTTGAGGCCTGATGGCTGCGAAGCTGGAGCTCAGACGATCACCGCTGTCACCTTCCTGGCCACCTGGGGCTGTGGGATGCTGGCCAGCCTGGCAGGTCTGGAAAACCCCTGGGTTTAGAGAAAGCCTGGCAGGGAGAGCGGGGTGCAGGAGAGGCCCCAGAAGGAAACCTCGTTGGTTTCTATCCCAGACAGGCTGTCTTCATTCAGCTCACAAACAACCTGTTCATCAGTCTCAGTGGCAAATAACTATGTCAACGGTGTCGGCCAGCCTGAGGTTAGGCAAGACCTCGGTGAGCTGTTCGGTGCTGAGAGTTTGAGTCATATTTGAGGCTTGGGGCTCAAGAATGCCAAGGATCCCGGCAGATACTAGAAACAAACAGAGGCCCATAGAAGGAATCCGCACAGCCACGGTCCTGGTTTGGACTTTGAGCCGGCAGAAGTGTGAGAAAATAAAAGTCTGTTCCTTAAAGTCACCCTCTTGTGGCATTGCTGTTAAGGCAGCCCTACGTAACCAAGACACTCGATGCGCTTGGAAGTCGCCCGCCCCCATCCATCCCCCTTGGACATCATGGAAGCCAGGCGCTAGAAACCGCTAGCTTGTCTGCTGTCAGGCTAGACTGTGTTCAGACAAAGGGAGGCCTACTGCTGTTTGTTGAGGACCTACCATGTGCTGAGCCCCCAAAGCTCGCAGCCCTCTGGTTTTACAGAGTCTGGGTCCTTGAGTGAAGGTCCCAGCAGGGACAGGACTGGGGAGCCTGGTGAGTGTTGACTTTGCATGGCTGCCACCACGGCAGGGTCAAGACCATGAACTACAGGCATTGTCTGGGTGAGCTGGAGGGAGAGGCGGGACCAGGAGGGAGGAGGGCCCCAGGGCTGGCTGTGGGGACAGCCGTGCAAGGCCTGATCAGAGCACACAGGAGCCAGCTGGGGAAGACAGCCAGGTCCAGAGCTATGGCAAGCTGGCAGCAAAAGGTCCAGCCTGGCAGCAGGGGAAACTGAGGCAGGGTGGGATCTTCAGGGCTGGGGCACCGATCCGTCAGAGTGGAGCCCTTCCTGGACCCTTCTCTGGTGCCTTAGACAAGGTGGGGTGGGGTCTCAGCCCCCAGGCCAACTTATAGGGAGGAGGGGAGGGGGATAAGGTTTAGTAGTCTGACCCTTACCCTTAGGTCCTCAGGCCACACGGCCTGGCCTTGGAATTCTTCTGTGATGCTGGAACAGGAGAGGGAGACGGAGGATGATGAGGGATGGGGCACTTCGGACACAGCACCCATGCTTCCCAGGGGGTCCTCTGAGCACCAGGCCTCAGCCAGGCGATCCAGAGGGTGGGCAGGCCTGGCCACCCAGGGCCTGGGGACTCTCCGGCTGCCTGGCCGGGTCCTAGCTGGCTTTCTGCTCCACTTGGTGCTGCCGGGGACAGTGTTCCTGCTGCTGCTGCTGCCCGCCGCAGCCATCGTCTACCTGGGCTTCCTGTGCCACTCCAGGGTGAGCTGAGCCCACCTGGGACCTGGGGAGGGGGCCTGCCCCAGCTCAGGGTCCCTGGGTAAATTGAACCTTGCTTCCTTCTGGCCCAACCCCAGGCCCCTAGGGGCTTATGTGCCTCTCCCAAGAGAGCCCCTTTCTATGCCCCGCCCCCCCAAACTGGATATGAAAGAAGAGCTTTTGTCTGTCACCCCAGGAGCCAGCTCTCTCCCCTCCTTTGAGATATGCCAAGCCTTGTGCCAGGAGCTACCAGGCCAGCACAGCTGGCTGGGGGTAGGGGAAAGGAAGAGGGGGCTTCCAGGGTGAAAAGATGAAAATGCTACCGAATTTAACCCTGCCAGTACCCCACCCCATGCACAGCCCTCCCAGGCCCCCTGCCCTGGCTGGATTTCTGGCCCTGAGGAATGGGATGTAGTGTGGTCCTAGGACAGAGGATGTGTGGAGACTGATGGGTCCCTGTCTCCTCTCTCTAGGCTTAGGATGGGGGGAGGGGTGCTGTTGAATATGGAGAAGGGCAGGGGGGCCATATGGAAGGTGGTGCTGAGGGTCCCACAACTGTTAGATTGAAGGCGGCTGCCAACACAGATGCCAAAAGGGAGTGGAAAGGAGAGAGCAATTCTCGGGGCCTCGGGGAAGGCACTCCTAGTCCCACTTAAATCTTACTGTGGGATCCCCAACCCACCACGTGACCTGAGCTCAGGTGCTACACCCCCCCACCCCCGCCTTCTGACCCATCTGCTTGCAAGCCCCTCCACCCATCTCAAGACCACAACTCCAAGGCCCGCCCTGCGGACCGCAGGCCCCGCCCCTCACCTCCCGCCCC